AATTAGTGCATATGGGTTGCTACTTTAAAAAAAAAAAAAAAAAGCAGACATATTAGGTTATTTGCACAATAATCACTTTCCACCAGTAAAATTTTTCAATGCAAACAAACAGTACAAAAAAATAAAGTAAAACGAGTCATACTGTCACTCGTTACACAAGGTAACCGATTACACAAGAGAACAGTAATTTTTTAAAGAAGGATCCACCAATCATCTTCCTACTCTGATAATTATTTCACGATACACATATATTAAAATATCTCCAAAGACAGATTTCTTTCTGCTTAAATTCAGCTTGTTAGCGTAGCCGAAGTTCTCTTCCTACTACAATTAACATCTAACACCAACTGCAGTTGTGACGACATTTCCCAGAATCCTTAGTTTTCTTGTATTTAACCAGTTTCTCCAATTCCCAGAATAGATCTTAAAACAGGCTATCAGAACAATGATTGCTTAAAATTAATGTTTAATATTTCAAGCTGATACTGTGTCTCAGTTTCAGAGCAACACAAAAAGGTTTAAGTAGTCCATCTCACAGTAAGATAAAAGCTGAACACAGACTTAGTCTCTGCTACATAATTATCATATCCTGAACTTATGTCCAGGACTTCTTCCATTAGCCATTTCAGGAAACATCATTATACTGGCCTATGTGGTTAGGGCATAATTTTTGAAAATTCAAAATTATTCAATCCTAGAACAGTATTTAAAAATAACCTGAACAAGTGTTCAATAAGATCTTGGCTAGAGTGTCAGCACTTTAGAAAACTGTAGCATAAGTAGGCTACAATAAGCAAGATGACTAGAGTTCTCTTCTTTTTAAGTGCTGCTGGACACAATATTATTTTTAAGTGCTTCCAACATCAGACAGTCAGTAGCACAGCTTCACTAGTAGAAGAACTAATGTAGGCTACCCAAAAATTTTACCACTTTATATCTATACGTACACTGATCATCACAGTTTAATAAACTGATGCTAAAAATCCTGGAGCCCATCTACATTAACCCTAGTATCATGGAAGGTTGATTACAAAATGAAGGCCCATCAAGACGGAATACAGGCAGTCCCCGACTTACGCGGATCCGACTTATGTCGGATCCACACTTACGAACGGGGCTCTCTCACCCCGGAAGTCGGGGCGAGAAAGCCCCGTTCGTAAGCTGCTCCGGTGCCCCTGGTCTGCTGGAGACCGTCTTCAGCAGACCAGGGGCACCGGGCGGGTTCCCGCGATTCTGAGGCTTTTGCCAGAGCCAAGCCTCAGAAGCGCGGGGAACCGCCGCTGCTGCCGCTTCCGTCCGGGTGCCTGTGGTCTGCTGGGGAGCGTCCCCAGCGCGGCGCTTACTCGAACCCTC